ACCCTTCTGTAAGGGGATGTCCAGTTGCCTACAGATGGGTCTTGGGTCCCCAATTTGCACTCCCCCTCATTCACAATGATTTGACTTTTTGTTCTTTGATGCCTGCCTGATCCCTTTGACACCTTGTGATCACACAGGCTGGTGTGCTTCTTCCGTGTGGGCTTTGTTGCTTCTGAGCTAGATGGCCGCTTGTTTACCTTCAAGCCTTTAAGACCCCAGATGCTGTATCTTTTGATAGTTGGGCACCATCAGCTTTCTTCACCACATTTGCTTATGCACCCATTTGTCTTCAGCTATCGTATCAGGAAGGTGAGAACACAATATGATTTTTTGTTCTTTGATGCCTGATAACTGATCCCTTCGACGCCTTGTGATCACAGGCTGGTGTTCTTCTTCCAAGTGGGCTTTGTTGCTTCTGAGCCATGTAGATGGCCGCTTGTTTACCAAATCCACTTTTCTTAGTCCTCTGCCCCACCTTCATATTCACTGGTGGACAGAGAAAGCAGATAGGGGCATTGTGAAGGGATATCATGTGTCAAGTGTTACATGTCAAACCAACATTTGCGTTTGCTGTGTGTATTCGGGTATGAGATCCCTTGAATGAGAATTAGTTAGGCTCAAACTAAGAATAGTATCCACATTATTTTTAGTCCTCCCACCAATTCTATAAAGTAGAAATTATAATTCTACAGATTAAAAAACAAAAGACCAGGATCAGTTCTGAAGTTAATTGAACTTTTCTGTCCCAGTAACCATCATGCTGGAAGTATATGAGATCATGACCAAATCACCCAGAAGTCAATGCCCACTTCCGGCACATGTGGGTGCTCATTCCATCTCCCCATCACCATGTCATTAATTTCCAGTTCAGTGAATTATCGTTAACGATTCTATGAGTCCTTACCTTCTTATTTTTGCCAGTTTCGTGTTTAGCTCTTGAGGGGGCAGAATTCACAGTAACATCTTCTCACTTTTTCAGATGTCTAAAGACATTGCCAGAAGCACCGACTTCACAAATAGTTTCCTGTCTGTACACTAGGTGACGGTATGAATTTCAGCATATTTAAGTGCAAACCTTAAAGAGCCACAAAGAGCCTTTCCACATTATTCCCAATTCCCCTTCTTGACCCTTTCATTTATTTTTGGAAAAGACTTCTCCTAAGTCACACTTAGCTACTAAAAGCATGCACAATGTGTGTGATTTGAAGTCAGAATGAGTGTCTTCACTGTCCAGTGTTGTTTCTCTGTTCATAGACCGGGGGAAACACTCTTGGGGGATAGAGGATCGTTGAACTACAAGGTGCCTTCTCCTAACATTGCATTTTTCCCCCCCGCTCGGTGTTAACTCTTCAAATCCTTTCACTGCAGGCACACTTCCTAGGACCAGAATCGCTAGTTGACAGGATTAAGGCTGAGACCCGCCACCGCGTTCAAGGTCAATGGGACCAGGAGCTGAGCCAGCGCTTCCAGGACCCGTTTTCTGCTCCGAAGTCAGTGCACTCTGTTCTCTCACTCTGGGGCTAGCGACGGGAATGGGAGCCCCGGGCTGCAGGACTGCCCGGGTGGTCGGACTTGGAACCGCCGCTCTGGAAGGTTCCGGAGTGGCAGGCGGAGGGGGCGGCTCCCTGGAGCCAGGGCGGAGCCGGCGGCGTGCAGGGGTCGGGCTACGCCTCTCGGCAGTGCCGGTTGGCTGCAGCCGCTCTCCGCCCGGCAGGAGACGCTCCCACGGAGGGCCAGCGGCGGCGGCGGCGGCTCCCGGGCTCGCGCTCGCTCGCCGGCTGCCCCCTCCCGCCGCAGGACCGGCCGGGCGCCCTCGCGGGCCGGGCAGCAGTTGACCATGGACCTGCGGATGCTCTCCCGGGAGCTCTCGCTCTATCTGGAGCACCAGGTCCGGGTTGGCTTCTTCGGCTCGGGAGTGGGCTTGTCCCTGATCCTGGGCTTCAGCGTTGCCTATGCCTGCTACTACCTGAGCAGCATTGCCAAGGTGAGCCGGGGGGTGGCGCGGGCACGGGCCGCAGGGCCGCGGCGGCTTTGCAGCGAGCCCCGGGTCCCCGGGCCACCGCCGGCTGGGGCAGGAGGCGCTGGCAGCCCTGCGGGCGAGCAGAGCCGAGCTGCACCCGAACGGTGGCCTCTCCCCGGTGCCCTCGCGGGACGCGCGGGAAAGCCGGCCCGCCGAGCGCACCTGCACGCCGGCTCGCGATCCGGGCCGGGCACTGCCGTCCGGCCCCGGCTGACCTCGGCGGGGCGCCCGCCGCGAGCGGTCCCTGCCACGCCGCGCAGTGCCGGCTCACTTTTGCGCGGGAGGACTTCCTTGCCTTAACTCTCACTTTTCCCTGGAGGGATGTACTGAACAAGGCAAATGCGTTGTGATCCAGGAGGAGACGTCTCGGAGTGAAAGCAGGCACAAGAGTGTGCGCCCTTTTCTGTTTGATGATAACGCAGAAATGTTGCTCGGTTCTGAACCCTGCACGGATGCTGGTTTCTCCTCCAGAAACCCCAGTTAGTCACCGGCGGGGAGAGTTTCAGCCGCTTCCTTCGGGACCACTGCCCGGTGGTGACGGAGACGTACTACCCGACCGTGTGGTGCTGGGAGAGTAGAGGACAGACCCTGCTGAGACCTTTCATCACCTCCAAACCCTCCGTGCAATACAGGAAGTGAGTAAATGCCCATTTTCAGTCATTTCTCCACAATCACATTTTTCAGACACTTAACACACACACATTGCCAGGTCTTAGTCAATAGGACCTCTGGTTTCATAAGGATATCGAAGGAGAAAGGAAAAGGAAAATGAAGGTTATAACCCCCACCCCACCCTCAACTGCGCCTGTGAAAAGGGGCTTCTTTCTAGAATGACAACTGATATTATTGTTTAGTCGTGTGACATGCGTCTGTCCGGTGAGGATTCATAACACGCACCATTGCATTGACTTATAGCAGGTGTAAGTGGGAAGCTGAGGGAAAAAAGACCATTTGCGTTATACATGAGGGACCTGTGTCAAAGGATTGCTTATTGATACACAAGCAGATTCTGATAACAGTGCCGGAGAGGTGTTAAAGATGCGGCCAAGATTATACCAGTAATGGGGAGATTTGAATGGCGTACATTATTAATTTCTCTGAGTCCCCTAGTCCTGGAGTTCTTTTTATGGTCTCAAACTGGCCTTATGCAGGAAAGTACTGTGAGTTCTTGGATACTATTTGAGAAACATCTTAAATTTAAAAAGCAGTTTTTGTAATAAATTTGATGGGGAGACCACATGACGGAATCAAAAGATGGAGAGCAGTGATCAGATTGGCATTTTCCTTATTCTCAATTCCCTGTTGATATATTTAGGTGACCTCAATCAAACAAGGGTTCAGTGCTGTATTCTTGAGTCATGATGAAACGATTAACACACACACACACACACACACACACACAAAGAAATGATTAACACAAAGACTTGAAGTGCCGGACACTCGTTTTTATATATTAATTTTTACTTAGGTTGTTGGAAATACTTTATTGTACTAATTTTTATAGTAAAAGAAAGTGACTTAGATGCCCTTTTCTTATATACAAAGGCAATCCCCAGGTTAGAGTGTAATCTGTTCCTAAGTGTTCCTGCGGTCAAATTTGTAGGTGAAACAGAACAGGCTGCTAACCACAAGGTCAGTAGTTCAAGCCCACCAGCCATACCAAGGACAAAAGATAAGGCTCCTATAAAGATTTAGCATGTCAGAAACCCTGTATAGTGTCCCTGTGACTGGACATTGACCCCATGCGAGTGGGTTTGGTTTGGTCTGGGATTAATGCAAGACTAGGCTCAAAGCCCTTTCAAAGATTTAAAAAGCTGCCCATGCAGCAAGTAAAGATGATTGGGATGAAGAATCTGTGCAAGTAGGGGTTGGATGAATCGTTGCCAAATGAGGGCGAAGGCACATTACATTACAGGGCAAGGACAAGTCTTATATTCATAACCAGGGACTTACTGTACTTCAGGTGTCTCTCTCTCTCTCTATATATATATATATTAATAAAAATGTATGTTGAGATTAAGACATGATTTGAAATATTTCATGAGTACTGTCTTTTGAATTATTTCATTCAGTGAGCTTATTAAAACAGCAGATGGAGGGCAGATTTTACTGGACTGGTTTGATAATGATCACAGTCAGTGTTACATGGATGCTAACACCAGACCTACCATCTTACTGTTGCCTGGCCTCACTGGAACGAGCAAGGAATCCTATATCCTCCATATGATCCATCTCAGCAAAGAATTGGGATACAGGTAAGTATTTTTTCCCCAACAGGAAAGTTTTTTTTCTCTCTATTTTACACCTTTATAAATGAAGTTCAAATATGTCTACATGTTTATTTCTGAAATATTTATTGTTTGTTGCATAGATTAAGCAATCCTTTAAGTTACTTTTCTCTGCTTCCTTCTTGTCCTTTCTTCCTCCCAGAAACATATCTAGTTAAATCATCTCACAGGAAATACCACTTAGCAATGTAGGCATTCTTCAAGTTTGAGTTAAATAGATGAATGAAAACCAAGTGGAACTGACCGAGGCCTAAGTGAGAAGGCCATGTTAGAGACAGTGTTATGGAGAACAGCAGTCACAAACCCCAGAGAGAGTACCCAGTGGCCCTAACGTCACATTGTGTATTTGAGTCCTGGATCCACTACTCTTATTGCCCTGGGTCAGATTTCAAGTGTAGAAAAATAGTCAGTCAGTTTCTACGTCTTTCTTATTTCCCAAAAGGCAAGTCCCCTACCCTCCCCCGAGCTGCAAGAAGATACCCTGGCCTCTTCTGTCCACCCAAGTCTGCAGGTGCACATGACTGGTGTCCAGCTGATGATGCCAAAGCATTTTGGGATTACCATTATTCAACTCAGTCGCCAGGTGCAATGTCATGTTTTGGAAGTGACTTAGCGATTTGAAATTTTAGGTTCCACCCAGCATCTTAACACAGAGGTCATTGTGAAAGGTACTGCTTTTCGTGCCTCTGCCTTTTTAGGTGGTAATAGTTCCTGTCAGGGAACACACTGCATTTACAATGGCAGTATCTTTTGTTAAACTTGACACACATGTTTCTGTGACTAGCTGACACTGAGTGTACATTAATGAACATATTTTGGTATAAAGAGGAGAATGCTATGATAGCTAATCTATTTTTAACAAGTTTCTCTTTTACAGATAAAGCCTATTTTGCCCACGAGGTGACATGCTCTCAAGCTACCATAGGTGTTCCAGAATTATGGCTCCAATGAGATTGGCACTAAGAGGAATTTCTCATTATTCCTTCTTTAGACACCACCCACTGAGACATGAGGCTTGACTCCTAATTTTGGCTAAAACTGAGGTTTCTGGAGTACAAAAGATTATAAAGCCTTTTGTACATATTTAAATTGCCGATTCTAGTCGTGGCCTGAGCTGGCTCCCAAGACTTAGAAACTGCTTTTTCAAAACAATGTAGTTAAAACTCCAGGACTGAATCTCTTAAGCCCCAGAGCTGCCAGAGGCATGGCTTTCTTCCATCACGTGTAGAAGTTGCCAAGTTTTACTACCCAGGGTATGGTTGCACTGTGCTTTAAAGCAGTTGAAGATTCTAGCTTCTCCGGGATTCAAATGGTCTCTCTTATTGATTTAGAAATGATATCGAAGTTACATTGTCAAGGAAGGCTTCATGCTAGGGGCTATGAGAAATAACGAAGAATTAGGAGGTGCTATCTCCTTCCCTCAAGGATCATACTGGAGAGGAAGACTCGACCAGGTCACCCCTGGTTGCTTGCAAGCCCAGCCTGTTCAGTTTAGGGAGTTATAATGCCAAATCAGATTGTGTTTGAAGGTAGAAGAAAAGAGGAAGATGCCAAGGTTAATTAAATGATCGATAGTGTTTGGATCTATCCCCCATTTTTTTAAAAAACATTTTATTAGGGGCTCATACAACTGTTATCGCAATCCATACACACATCAATTGTGTAAAGCGCATTTGTACATCATTCTCAAAACATTTTCTCTCCACTTAAACCCCCGACATTAGGTCCTCATTTTTCCCCTCCCTCCCCCCTCCCCCCTCCCTCATGAGCCCTTGATAGTTCATAAATTGGTATTTTGTCATATCTTGCCCTGTCCAACGTCTCCCTTCACCCACTTTTCGGTTGTCTGTCCCCCAGGGAGGAGGTCACATATAGTTCCTTGTAATCGGTTCCCTCTTTCCTACCCACTCTCCCTCTACCCTCCCTGTTTCGCCACTCACACCACTGGTCCTGTAGGGCTCATCCGCCCTGGATTCCCTGGATTTTCAGTTCCTATCTGTACCAGTGTACCTCCTCTGGTCTAGCCAGACTTGCAAGGTCGAATTCGAGTCATGGTAGTGGGAGCGGGGAGGAAACATTTCCCCCATTTATTTTAATTTTTAGAAGTATCTGAATTTCTCTTTCAATCTATCTCAGAGGGTTTCGATGATTAGTATATATGAAGTAATTGGTTTAGTGCCCTGTAAGAAAGTGGTCTTTATTAACTCATTAGGAGTCTTAGTGGTGTGCAATAGTGAAACCCTCAGCTGCTAACCAAAAAGTTAATGGTTCAAACCCACCCAGCTACTCCAGGGGAGGAAGATCTAGTGTCTGCTCTCAAAAAGATTGCAACTTAAGTAACCTGATGGGGAGGAGCCCTCAAAGGGTAGAAGTTATGTGTTAGGCTGATGACCTCAAGGCCAGCAGTTAAAAACCACCAGCTGCTCTGTGGGAGAAAGGTGAAGCTCTCTCCTCCCATGAAGAGTTAGCACCTGGGAAACCCACAAGGCCCATTCTACCTTGCCCTACAGAGTCACTCTGAGTCAGAATCAACTCAATGGCTGAGTGAGTGAACCCAATGGAGAAGTTCTACTCTGTCCCAAGAGGTTGCTCGTGTTGAAAACCGACTCCACTGCACTTGAACAAAAAAAGAAAATGTTTTTGCCTTCCTTAGCTCATCTTCCATTTCCAGATAGAATTTTGTTTATAATCTGAGAGAGCAAGTAAAGGCAAACCTATCTTTTAGGGATTATAAACATTGGCTTACACCAGAGTTTTATGTACAGTGTAAGCACCCAGCTGACACAGGGTCTTCTTGCCCTAGGGCCCACGTTACAATCTTGTATAAAGGTTGAGCATTTAGAGAAGGCCGTGTGCTGTGAACCCACCAAGGAATCATTTGGTGCTTTGTGTTGAGATAGGATTTACACATTGGACAGAACCTAGCTCTCAGCATATGAACAAATAAAACATTGTTACTATTTAAAAAAATGTTTTTCATGTTCCTGAAAACAAAAACAAGCTGCTCTGTTAAGGCCAACTAATTCAAAATTAATAATGGTTGGAACAGGTATTATTTGATGTTCCTCACGAATAACCTGTTAAATCATTGTCTGAATCGATTTCCAATAATACAACTAAAAAATTAAAGACAAGGCAAAGAACAGCACCTCTGAGAACATCTGAATTATATTTTACTTTGGCTTTTATTTTCTTAAGGAAAAAAAAAGTTTTTTCATCTACCATTATATCCAACTAGGCTAAAAAGTTCACCTGTGATCATTGTGAGCAAAAACTTCATTAAGAAAATTAACAATAAATTAACAATCAATCAACTTGATTGGCAAATATTTGGCCTGCGGCATTGTCCATCTCCATTGCCAGAGCACAGCGTGTACGACTATGAACAGGTAGGTCTAAGTGGAGGAAAGCGTGTCAGCTCCACCCAGTCTTCTGAAAAGTATTCATCAGATAAGACTTCTACCCACTGAAGGACAAGAAAAGGGACAAAGAGAGGCCAGGTGTTTGTTTAGAGAGAAGTCTTCATAGGATAAGCCAGAGAACTAAAGAAAAAAATGGATCCCTCTAGTAATTTACATGTAAATGATACATAAAACAGAAAGCTTATTAATATATCCAAGATGTCTTTATTAGCAAATCGTCATTCCCTAGCATAGCCTAACAGATACTATTTTATGTACCTCACTAATATCCTGCTAAATCATTCTCTGAATTGATTTCCAATAATACAACTAAAGACAAGGAGAAAAACTACCTCCGAGAACATCTGAATCCTATCTTCCTTAGGCCCTTTTTATTGGAGCCTTCATGTACTATTATATCCATCCCAACTAATGTTAAAAGGAGTGACCCATCCAGAATTCTGAAATAATCAGTTCACTGAAATCTGGGTCAGTCATTAAGTATTTTGGTACCTATATCCCCAAGGAACATAGGCTAGGTGCAAGAACAGAGTTTGCAGTAGTAGGGAAGGACGCATAGAAAGGACTAGGCTTGGCTGCAAGTGACAGAAAACTCAAAATAACCGTGACCTACACAAGATACAAGATTTTCCCTCCCTCGTAAAAATCCAAGAAGACAGCTATCAGGGCCTGCATGGAGTGCTAAGCTGTTTATCATCTTGTTCTTGGCTGCAGCTCCAGCTATAACAGACTTAAGCGTTTCAGCACAGAAAGAACCCCCCCAAAAACCAACACAGGGCAGGGGGGAAAGTGACCACACCATCTTTTTCTTTTTCTTAATCACTTTATTGGGGCTCATACAGCGCTTAATCAAAACCCATATATACATCCGCTGTGTCAAGCACATTGGTACATTTGTTGCCATCATCATTCTCAGAACATTTTCTCTCTACTTGAGCCCTTGGTATCAGCTCCTCATTTTTTCCCCTCCTCCCTCACCTTTCCTCTCTCACAACCCTTGATAATTTATAAATTATTATTTTTTCATGTCTTCCACTGTCTGATGTCTCCCTTCACCCACTTTTCTGTTGTCAGTCCCCCAGGGAGGGGGTTATATGTAGATCCTTGTGACTGGTTCCCCCTTTCTCCCTTATCTTCCTGGTGTTGCTACTCTCATTATTTGTCCTGAGGGGTTTATCTGTCCTGGATTCCCTGTGTTTCCAGCTCTTATCTGTACCCGTGTACATGCTCTGGTCTGGCCAGATTTGTAAGCTAGAATTCGCACCATCTTCTTTGTGGCCCTTGTTCACCCCACTTGGGTGTATGCCCAATTGGTTTTTGTTTTGTTTTTTTCAGACGCAGATCGGTTTATTCATGGTACTTTCACTATTCATTTCCAGCGCCACAAATCAAAGGCATTGATTCTTCTTTGGTCTTCTTTATTCAGTGTCCAACTTTCACATGCAGGCGAGGCAACTAAAAATACCATGGCTTGAAGGTAAACAAGCGGCCATCTAGCTCAGAAGCAACAAAGCCCACATGGAACA